ATCGCAGTTTTTCTCGCTTTCTAACAATGCAACAAGAGCCATTACAAATTCATCCAAGCTAATATAATAGGTCATTTGATAGATAAAAACCCTGGCTTTCTATTGGTTATAGGTAATATATGATTAAATGTAAAATAGAGTTATTAACAAATCCTGAAAGAGAGGATGTGACAGGAGGGGTCTGATTTTCTATTTGATAGCTCTGTAACCAAACAAAATTGAAGGCTATAAAAATAATGGTTTGTCTGGGCAATGACGATTTTATAGTGAGTAATTTACGTTTAATTTCGTAGTTACTGGAGGGGTGGTGGATAAAATAGAGAAGATACCTAGAGAAACTGTGTCACGTCTGTGACACTAGGGGAAATTCAGGATTTTTTTAAAATATTGCCTTATATAATTAAGAACTTAAATTCTATATACTATTAAAATGTGGATTATCAGCTAAGCATTTATGCCATATTAATTAGTATAACATAAAAAGTAGTTTAATAAAATTTTGAATGTAAGACACTAAAATCTTGTGTCATGCACAATAAAGGATACTCCTGGCAATAGGATTAAGTTGACTCAGAAAACGTTAAGTTAGTGTAAGTGAAGTTAGACTGCGTGATTGTTAGTTTACCCATAATGGGCAATACTTAAAGTGAGCTTCACAGTGGTATTGTAATAACAAGGATAAAGGAGAATAATTTGTCTTCTCAAAAGGTTATCTAAAGTAACTGAACCCACCTATGTGGACTTTGACGAAAAGGTTACAATTAATTGAAGTTCTGGATACAACTGTGATAACTCACGTGGAAATGTAAGTGAATCTATCACAAATTGTGCAATAAGAAACGGAGTAGAGAAAAACAATTCATCTTGTCAATTTAGTTCTAAAGTAACTGAACTAGCCTGTGTGGACTTTTGTAAAGAAAAGATAATTATTTAAAGTGTTAGATACAACTTTGATAACCAATAGTAAAGCGAACTTTTGTACATACGTTTGACATGCTTTGAATATATATTTTTAAAACAAGTGGATTGTGTGCTGTCTGTTTATTGTTTGAATTTATCGCCAACAAGTCGCAGACACCTACTGTAAAGAATCCGGCCCATTTACACACCTGACAATATAATAGCAATACCAGCTTAAAAAAGCAATGAGCATAATAAGATTATATACTGAAAATACATTCAGGCTATGCTCAAGACTTTTATCCTGGTTATTTTTTTTTTTTTTTTGTCCTAAATACCTTCTTGGCTTGTTGCACATTTTATACATGTTCCCAGTTTCAAACTATAAGAACCAACAGTAATATCCCATCATACTTGATATCACTGTTCCATTGTAGAAATATTCTGATGGAAGCACTTACCATGCTCATCACTCACTGCACCTAGATCTTTTGGGAGGAAGTCTAAATAGGAGTGTAAGACGTGCATATTTACTGACATCTTAGACCTCATTTTCCTGTAGTTCTCGATTATATCATCAGTCATCACAGCATGGTTTTCATCTCTGTGATTTTGACAACTTGTTTGAATGATTTCAAGTTGGCAAGTTTTTTCTGATTGAGTACTATTTCAAAATCATCATCCCGAATTTGTGGCCCAAAAAGATACCTCTTTTCATTTTTGCTTCACTGATTTTTGGAAAATTGTCAGACAGATACCTGAAACCATTACCATCTTTGTTCATTCATTTTACAAAATTCTTCACGAGTCCCAGTTTAATATCAAGTGAAGGCAGAAACACATTTTGAGGATTCACTAAAGGTTGATACTCGATATTCTGTTTCCCTGGTATGTAATTCTCTCTCTCACTGGCCATTCCTTCTTTTTGAAATGATTTTTATCATCTCGGCTGTCTCAGAGACACAATAAGTAACAATGAGGGGTATATCCATTCTACAGGCCTAGCAGGGGTGCAGTGACTTTTAGGTAACCACATATGTTTCACCTATGGTGATCATATATGATGGCCTCAAGTATAATCGGCATGCTTGGATAAGTGTCCTTCATGGTCACTGCCAAAAATATCACCCATTGTACTTTGTGGGTTGGGGTTAACCTTGTGGTACCATAAAATATTCCCTGCACTTTAAGCTGTGGGTGTGTTATAAGTGTGACAATCCTCCATTAGCGTGGATGGTGGGTAGTTGGGTGCTGCTGACTGGCTACCCATGCAGGGATGGCGGCAGATGGCCTTCGTAGCTTTGTCATAAATACAAATACTGTAATTTAGGGATGTGAGTGTGTTATAAGAATTACGGTCAAATCACGTTATTTGGTCTTACAAAAGTATTTCAAGAGTTGGCAGTGTTGACTGTCCATCTTCTCTCGACTACTACTTCAAAATTAGGGATGGCTAGCTTGTGTATCTTTGCGCAAAATCCAGCAGAACAAACTAACAAACAGATAAGCCTTTAATTTGTACTATTTCATTGAAACTACTCTGAACGTTTGGGTTATGAACGTCCGTGCTCTAGCTAAATACTTTGCCGTTTGCTCTCTCTCCCTCTCCAAGTCTTTTTTTCATTCATAACCGAGCTTCGTCAGCAGCTGCATTCATTGATTTTTTTTCCCCTTTTACGACCTTAATCTCAAACTGGGGTCAGCCGGTATACTTTGTAAGCCAAGAATTTTTACATCCCCGTGGCTAGCCCAGTCGGCAACCATATAAGACGAGTATATTTGGTGATGGGGATTCGAACTTGTGATCATCAGATTGCGAGTCAAGCGCTCTAACCACTGGACCATGGTTGGCCCATATCCTTTTATAAAGGTGACTTACTGAAACGTCGAAATATAATTTCTTGGAGATTAGACACATTTTATTCACAAAATGTCTAACATACTCTCGTCTGCCCTAGTAATGTGAAAAGCGAAAATAATGCTTACTGACATGGTCTAAGCACTCTGAGGTTAATGAAAATAAACTAAATGTGAATTTCTTAGGATAACATAATCAGAAATAAAAGGAGAACAGTCATAATGTAAAATGTAGATTAAGTCCATGTAAACTATAACGAACTAATTTATTTCTTCCTTTAATGTTTCTACAAAATTCAACACTTGTATACTGTCGTAATTAATTGTAGGCCTACGTTACAAATGATGTTAACTAACGTAAAACAAATCAACTTAAGTGTACAAAATAACTCAATAAGCGCGATAGCAAACCTGGATCCAAATACGTCTCGAAAATGCACTGATTCAACTGCTTTCTTTAAAAACCCTCCACTTTTTTACCCCTCAACTGGTAGGGTAAAATATTTGAATCACAAGTGGTAGGAGGTAGGTCAAAATAACCCATTTGTAACATACTTCAAAAATATTATCTTTATAACACAGTCGAGTCAGAATGACCCACAAATGACAAACAAATGATTATAACAGCAAGAAAGAGAATTGTAATAGCACATCAACACTCAAAAACTGATTGAGGATAGAGTACAGAAAATGTCAGATAGAGAGCAGCACTAGCTGAGTGAGAATATCGACTTGAAATATCGATGTGGGTTATTCTGACTCCACCCTACCAGTTGAAGGTTAACTATGTACTGTATCTCCTTGACTACCTTTCAACCCACTCTACTCTTGAAACATCTGTTTCACTGCAAGCTTACTTCACTATATCTTCAACTATCGTCGTATTTTTAATCTAGCTTCGAATGTGTGACAAAAACTTGACATCACCTTAGAATTTTCTAGGCGTTCTTACGCCCACCATCTAACAAATTACGACATTAAAAATACAGCTTACAACAATAAATTTATAGTAGGGCCATGCTATCTACGCTTTACCTTGTCATAAAATAATTACCACTGCTTTTATAGTTATTTCAAGTTTTCAATGTCATTTTTTCATGTAAATAAAATACACAGTGACGTGAAATGCTCTTTTCTCATAAACACATTACAAGTGGTTTGCTATAGTAAGACTCATTGTTTTTAAACGGAAACATTGTCTCTTGTTTCTTTAATAAGAATACATTGGACATCTGTCTGGACACTAAGCGTAAATGTCAAATTCCAGAAATGAGATTAGGTTATAAATGAACTGTTCACGGGTCAAAAAATTGCAGTTCTCTTTCTTCCCAGTGTTACACAAATTGTTGCTTTAAGGCTAGTAATATTTGATTATACCATGAACAGTGAAACTTAACATTTAAATTGCACTTTTAGAAGAAATCTTCTTTAAAAAATTAAAAACTGGATTATAAGGTAAAGCACTTACTTAAAAATATTTGCAACTGAATTAGGAATTATCCACATTTTCATGCTTCAGCCTTCACGCGCCGTATCAAAGCAGCTGATGTTAGTTCGATAACCCACAACTTGTACTACAAGTGCGGAGATTTTCATAGTCTTCAACCAATTTTTAAGTTGCAAGGTCATAAACTCAATAAATATAAACAATGTAACAGGAAAAGTTATATTCTTTCTTCTGCCACATCTACTTTTGAAATCCAATAATAAGTAATGAAATTTCAGTTGAATGGTATTAAGCAGCAATTGAGCTCACTATTTGAAAAGATTGTCAATTAGCTTAGAGCCACTCCGAATTCTTATAGTTTTGGGTAGTCTATTAATTTGATATTGAAACTATGGCATATGAAAAGGTCCTAATTTTGTATTAATACCTACCATTAACAAACCAAAACTACTGCTAATGGTACTTAATTCTTATATTTTTAATTTGTTTTGATAAATATTATCTGATCATACAAATTTTAAGAGATCAATAATGCATTCGCATTAGAATTTTATGCCTAAAACTGATTTTAATTTAAGCAAGGTATTAAGTCGTAACTTGTATAAAGCTCGAGTTGAGCATTATTTTTATGCAGGATATAAGTTGCTTTGGTGAATTTTGGGATATCACATGTACTCAAATAATGCAATAAAACAAACAACCTTGTTGTATTTGAATTTTATAGATATTTACGAAAGACAGAAGATTAATGAATCTAAGAAGTAACCTTGAATTTTACAGTATTTTCTTTTTCTAGAAACAAGTTGTGTTCCAATGTACTTGGCCAGGATGTAGACGGCAATATGACACATGTAAAGATATTGAAAAACATGTTCGTACCTTACATTTAAGGTAATGGTGTTATATTAGTCGGTTTCATTCTTATCTTTAGTAATAATAGTAATAGAGATGAAAATGATAACATTTAAATTAAGATAATACTTATTAATATTCATCTCCTTTCAAGTACTTTGTAATTAACATTAAAATATATCATCTTAATAATGAATTACCTTATAATGATATTTTAAAGTAGTTTATCAAATTTTATTATTCAGTGTGCTTTTATTTTATAAAAGTTTGAAAATATGATTTCACCTTCTACATACTGCATAGATTTGCTTTGAGACAACACTCAATTAAGAATCTAACTACATATATTGATGCATGGTGCTGCCTACCATTAACAAACTACTAGTGGTAGTTATTTTTTATATTTTTAATTTGTTTTAATAAAATCTTATGATGAAATGAATAAAAAGGAGTAATAATAGCAAAGCCAGTTAGGCAGCATATTGCATGTAATACAGGGTTAAATTCTTATATGAATTACCAGACTATACCTTTAATTCTTATCATTATTTATCATTTGACACTGGACATAATTATTTCTAATGCACCTAACGTGTGAATAAAAAATATGCTTGAAACAGTCAGTTTGAATTGTTATGCTTGACTTAATAAAACAATGATAAAATAACATGAATCAATTATAATACTAATGTTAATTTTTAAACTTACATAGAGCAAACCCTTGAAAGTGGCCGAAAATATAATTTATACATTTTCTCATAGTTGAAAAATTTTAGAATACTTTCAAATGATCAGTCTCTTATCTTTGCTGCAATTTCAATAAGCATTTTTTTTTTACAAAATATTAGGCAATACAAACAACAGGGAATAGAATTGAATGATCATGAGGAGGAGTTTTACTATACAGAGATTGAGAAAGAAATTGATGTGGGGAACCAGTTATCACCACCACCCAGTTCAGAAAGTAATGGAATTGAAGGGCTAGTATCTCCAACATTACCAACTATTTACACATCTATGGCTCCTACTCTTAGTCATTTGGACATGGTGAGACCTCCTGAAGAAAATCCAGAGTTTAAATGTCAGCAAGAAGTATGTTTGTAGTCAAAGTTTGTAAACTTCTCAGTTACTGACTATAAACCTAGAGGTGTTAGAATTATTTGAATGTTTAATGAAACAGCTTAAAGCTGATTTATTTTTTCACATGAATATTGTATATGTTAATTTTCTGTTTGTGGTATACTTTATGATCTCTTGAATTGATTTCTTTCTGTGTAGTGAAACTAATTCAGTAATATCAGAAATGCATCTAACACTATATCGCATTTCATACATGAACTGCCATGTTTTGATGTACTTAGTGTTCACAAATTGTTTTATGTTTATTTTCTTTGTGATTTTCTGCACTAGTGAATTACCAATGAAAATCGCTTATAGAACTTTCTTCCATAAATGTTTATAGTGAATAATGATGTATTCTAATATAATTAAGCTGTAGTTTCTAAGATTATCCAATAAATCGGATATTAAGTAACATGTTCTTGTTAATTCAGCAATGTTCAAAGTCAAGCCCTATCAACATCCCCCAAGGACAGACATCAGTGATTCAGTGGTATCCACACCATTCATATGCTGCAAGCCTTCCAAGTACTATGGTGAGAAATTTTCATGAATTCCTATACAAATCTTTTGCTTTGATATCCTTATTTATGTCATAATAGAGGATGAGGCTAACAGAGCAGCCTTGTAACTGTTTATAGCCTGTTGTAACTACAATACCATCTATATTTAACTTGATAACTTACCCAGCATTTTACCAAAGAATTTTGACAAACAAAACTGTATATTGAGGAAATTTGTTCATTAAAAATTTTCAATTGTAAATCAGTCAGACAAAGTAGGTTTGTTTTAATATTAAATATTTAGTGAATAGAATGTTCTATTCTTGTCAGAAAAAAACTAATAAAATGTTGGTTTGAATTAAATTTTTGTATAATCTTTCATTTCATTTCAACTGATTTTCAATAAATCAGTTCATGCTAAATGTGTTTTAAAATACAGAAGCAGGCTAAACCTTGTAGTACTGCATCACTTGCAAGTTTGCTTGAGTAAAGAATTACCATATTGTGCTAAATTGAGTTGTTAAAAAAAAGGTGTCTTACTAAGAATAGCTAGAGAGTTAACCCTTTAGTTTAATTGGTAGAACAGTTGCCTAGTGTACAAGAGGTCACAGGCTCAACTCTCTTGCAGGAGACATAGAAAGTGTCTTAACTAGTGGGCTAAAACTTTATCTCAGTTGGTAGAGTACTCAGCTTACATGTGAAAGATCCTGGATTCAATTCTGCTAGACAAAAGAAAAAAAATACAATTTCTAAAATATGAAATATGTATGTCTCTCAGTGCAAAAAGTGAAATGGAGTTGAACTTGAAGCCACATTATTACATGAAGCACCATTCTCTGTTGCCAGAACTGAATCATAATTATTTGTTTTTTATTAATATTTTCAGGTTTCAACTCCTAAGTACATACGTCTAAGCCCCAAATCTCTTTCCACATCACCCAAGTGCTTGCCACAACTACGAAAACTTCGATCAGAAAGTCGAAAATGTCGTAAAGTTTATGGCATGGAGAACAAGGACCTGTGGTGCACCCAGTGTAAATGGAAGAAAGCTTGTACCAGATTTGTGGACTAAATGAGATTGTTTAGCAACTGCGATTGGAGAGAATTAATGAGACATGCTTTATTACAGTGACTTGTACAGCCCAACTATATAGAAATACAGTTTGATACTTACCATTGAGATTTATTATCACACTTTAGTACAAACTTGTAATGTTAAGGCATGTTGTTTACCAGAATGTATTGGAACAGATTATTACTAAACCAAGAACTTTTACTGATTAAATTGGCAATTTTTGGCACAAGAAATGTAAATTTGCATCTTTCCATTTTTCACTTTACCAACTAATAACTATATCTTTGTTTGTTTGTTTTTGTTTTTTTTTAAAAAAAAGATTGTATGTCACATCATTGTTCTTGGGTTCTTTAATAGTTTTATAAAACTACCTTAGAAGAGAGATACCAAATTATATAATTTTAAACTGACTGCCATATTAAATGTTGCTCAAAAACATGATATTCAGGCTAGTGTAAGCAATATCTTTATTTGAAACTGATAGGTACTACATATTTTAAAATATTTTATTAGATATTAACTTCATAAGTGATTAGTTTCTGTTCTTAGTATGCCATATCTTTTCCAAATGTAATAAAGGTTATTCAAGTTACAAATATATTTAAGTAGATGTGGAGCTAAGTTTTATCAAGCAGCTAGCTTATGCAAGTAATTTGATCTATAGCTTTGTTTCTAAAATGAGAGAAACTTAACTAGTATTTAACACACACATCCAGGACATGAAATTTTAAGTGACAGCTTTGACTTAGGGCATTATACTCACAAAGTTAAATCTTCATATATATACGGTAGAGAATCTTTTTTAAAGTTTTATTTGTTTCATATTTTTACTGTAGAGTTTTAAGTACTTCATATCAATTATTATTTTTTTTAAAACAAAGTTACAAAAGAAAATTAAAGCACGAGCTTACATTGCTGGATTTGGTTTTTTGATGACTTTTGTGTTATAATATAAATTGAATGATTTTCTAAGTATATTCACCTTGTTTTACAGTTCATTAGCTACACAACACCTAAATAAACCAAATGTTCCTTAAGATATATGATCTTTGAACAGTCGATGTTGAAGAACTGTCTTTATGTTGGAGGAACCTATTATTCCACACTGACATGTAACCATAAGGATACTACAGTATTGGTTAAACCTTATATTACATTAACATGGATAAGCCCACATTTTATATGATATTATAAGTTTTGATGTATGACCAACCAGATAATATTGTTAGATAATTTTATTGTTTATCTTCCTTTCAAAAACTATTATATTTTAAAAAAGGCTTAGTGTGTGCCTTTTTATCTAGTTGGGTATATTTCTTAACAGTTAACTTTATAATTGCATGACTTATATGACATTTGCTAGGGAAAGTTCATTGTCCCATGGAATTTTTTTTGTGAAACTTTGAAGTTATAGTTGGTATCCAGTCCTATTTTGATAGTTTTGTCATCATTGCATGCAGATTAAATTTGCCCATTATTTTTAAAATTTTATTTGTCTGTTTTTGGAAATATATTTCGCTCTCTCTTTCTTTACTTTTCAACTGTGAAAATAATCTTACTGGAAAATGGGTTATGTATTCTTATTATGAATTAAATTTCTTAGTCATTAAGAGCACAACCTCAACCTACAGAGTGAGGTTGTCACTTATTGCGTGTAACTTTAACCTCTGGTTAGCTGTTAATAAAAATGTCATTTCTACATTGTAATACTAAAATTGTTGTCAAAAAATGGAAACATCCTGTTGTACTTTTAAAAAGGAAATCTCAGCTATTGTGGCAATAACAGATAAAAACCTTTTTAATAGCTCTGCTCCACTGGATTTTTATAAATTTATTTTTGAAAATGTAATTCTTTATTATTAGAAAAATGTGAAATAATTGTTTTTGCACCTGCAGAAAATTTTCATAACATGTAAATTCATAAGTATAATATGTTAGTAATATAAATAATGTTGAAATTACTTCACATTTATTATGTTAATTTTGTATTATGTTTTTAAGACTTTTATGCAATATTAATATTTGATTTCAGTTTTAATCCACCTGTGAAAAAGTCACTTCCTACTATGATCTTTAAAATTGTTAGTAAATGTTCCTGACCAATGTTTTATTGAGGCTTCTTTTTAATCATAAAAATTCTGTTGATTAATATGAATCTTCAAAAAAATTGGAATTATATAAGCATTCTATTAAATAGTAGGGTGGTTTAATCCTAATGGTGGGTATAAAAAAACATACAAAGTAGTTGGTTGAATAATGATTTTCATTCACTGCAAATCCTTGCAAGGCAGAAAAATGTTTTATTTTGTTACTGCAGTAAGTATGAAGAAAAACATTTGTAATGATTGAATTTCAGAATCTTCCAAGTAAACAAACGTATTTCCAGATTTAGGTGTTATATATGTAAAATTCTCAATCTTATTGTACAAAAACATTATTTTGCAATTTTTGTTACGATTTGAAAATTATAGTAAGTGATGAAAATTTTGACACTTCTGAAAATGCTGTGGGCTTTATTCTGTTGGAAGAAATGAGCTGACTTCCTTTCATTACAGGATAAGGACCATTTATTCACATTTAGAAGATAATTTGTGCCTTAATCATTTACCTCAGGAGAAAGCTGTATATAACTATTTGTAAATCCTCAAAGAGAAAGGCAAGCATACAAGAAATAGACCTTACAGATAACAGTGTATCTTTATAAAGTTTTATAGCTTTTTGTTTGTTTTTTACTGAATAAGACAAGAATTGTCACTTTTCTATCACACTGTGATATTAAGAAAATAGTTTGATACTGTATGTTTTATACATCTTTTTAACAAGTTAATTTTAAAATGAAATATAAATGTGAGTTCTGATGCAAGATGCTAAATACTACCAAAAATAGTTTTTGTATAAATTTGATGTGAATCAAACTGAAATAGATTAATATCATCATTAAAATGTGTGACAATATACTGTCAATTTTGCAGTTTGTTTCACCTTTAAATAGTGTATATGTAACAACAACAAAAAAAAAAACTTACTGTTGTGGTTGTACATCTTGTAGTCCTGTACTTGATGCAATATCTCTCTAACATCTTTGTTGTCTCTCTTAATTGCACACATGTTCTCTCCAGAAAAAAAAAATATAAATTTTAGAATTTTTTGCAGAACATTTTCATGCTTATATCCTTTTGTAGCTAGTAGCTACAGTTATAAATATTTTTGCCATATAATTTACATTGTTGTTGTAGTCTTGAGAGTAATATAACTGTATAGTCACAGAGTGAACAAAACACAGAATGTGGCTTAAACTGTGTTTGGTAAATTAAATGTTTCTACTTAGTTCTTGTTTGATATATATAAAGTAGTTGTTTTATAAATGTGTCACTTGTAATGTGTGCTTTATTCAAAAGTTGAATTATGAAGTTGGAGTTAGTAGACTTTCAAAAAGTGTTTTGACTATGTTATGTTTTTTCATTATATTGCATTTGTTGTTTCTCTTAATGTTTAGGGATTGTATTTGTAACAAAGGTATGTTTGAAACATAATTAAAATGCCCAGGTAAAATGACTAACTAGTTCAAATCAGTGTGAAATAGATGTTGTTTTCACACTCAATAACACTTATAAAAAATGGTACAACTGGCTTTTGTTAAGAAATAATTATCGGAATATATTACAAGCACTTAATTTTTTGGTTACTAAATCTTGTAAGCAGCCAAAATCATGTTTCAATCATGATTTTAACTTTTATTATCTAAGGATGTAAAACATTTTTGCTGTGGATGTACTGTGTCATCTAATTATTTCATGCTTTTTCTTAATTGTAAACAATGTTTAGTTACTTATGTCTATTTGAGATTGGTGGTCAAATCCATTGCGTATTTTTTAATAATATTAAACATTCTTGCATTTTATTTAGTTGATTATTGTAACTAATATTTAACTGCAGTATCTATTGACTTTTAATATAGACAAAATCCTCTTGTTAGCATTGTTAGTACTCAGTCTCTCAAGTAGGGTAAATTTTCAACTTTATGAGGTTATGACACTTAAATTACTATCTATGGTAACACCATAGAAGTTATTATTGAGTGTTATTTAAATGAATAAACTAGTAAAAACATTTGTTATCATTGGATGTACCAATGCTAAACATTACCCAAAAAAAGCAAGTACTTTCAGCTGGTAGGCTTTTATTCACTCTGAGCTAAAGGGCACAGATGAAAGTGCTCACTTATTTTGGGCTATTTTTAGCTTTATTGTGTAATTTTAAGTTGTTTTTTTTATGTGATCCACAGTGCTGTCACTTAAATGGATTAGTTTAAAATATATATATATGCTTTTTACAAGTATGTTTTATTTCAATGTTGTCTTTATATTTTCATTATATTTTGTATAGGAAATGTGTAAATATATATATATATATTCACTTCCAAATCTCATTTATATACAATATTTTAAAGTTTATGGATCTAAGAATTATGTGTGTTACAAAAATTCAAAACTTAATATACTAGCAATTTTTATGGTAGTAAAGACAAGACAGTGTAAATTCTTTTCATGTTTGTATGTTTAAAAATGATTTATGGTATTATTTCCATTAGGGGGGAAAAACCCTGTTACTGTGTGTTATTTCATGACTGTTTTATATGTTAAAATATAAATATCATTTAATAAAAACTGTTTTTACTATTCTGAATGTTATTGGATATTAGATGTGTTTTTTTCTTCTTAGCCTCTCTGTAGTAAAACACTCAATATTCTGAAAAGTCATAGTTTTGTAAACAATGATTAAAATGTAATAAATAGTTGATTAGCAATCAAGGGTATGTTACAAGGCTGAGGAAAATACTTTTGTTTTTTGGTGGGGGTGGGTTATAATTCTACACTGGTGAGCATCAACAAGTGATGAAAATAATGAGTTATTGGAAAAGTGCTTAAGTGTTCTACCACTTCAGTAGGCTTATACCCATAGGTTGGTCTTTAGTATTAATTTAAATATGCGAAGTTCTTTTACTTACTCAGCATATTTTACTATACTTTGAAATTTTTATTTTACCACATTCATAATTTAATTAAGCATTTTAAATGAAGGTCTTGACAACTTGTATTTCTGTTTTACTTGTAAAATCCAAAATTATACAAGTGAACTAGATTAGCTTCTGATTAATAATTGAGACATCACCAACACAAACAGATATTCAGTCATTCTCATAAGATCTATGTATTGTAATTCAGGATTGCATTTTTATATAATTTTAATCCTGCTGAAAATTCAGTTGTACAACCTGATATTACTGTTAGGTGATTGACAACAGAGTTTGAAAAGCAAAGTATTGTATAGACTTGGTGATTTAATGCTTGTCTGTGACAGATGAGAAATTACATTGTGTGACTTACCTCTGGTTTTAGAATTTTAAGACTGACCACAATTAGTTAACTGTATTTATACAATTTCTCTACACTACTTGCCCTTTAACACTTGTAAAACTAACTACTGTAACTTGTAATAGATAGTGTTAGAAATAGAAAACCTTATAACATGAGCACTTTTAAAAACGAGGACCATTTCTCATCAGGTCCACCTTCCAAAAGTGATCAGGTTATATAGTTTTGTATTTTTGCCTTAAAATGATTTTTTGAACTAATTTTCCTTACATCAGTATTGGAAATAATTATGAAAATAGTGAATAAAATCCAAATAGTCTGGGGTTGCTCCTATCCTGCTATAAGAAAATTAACTGTAACACAATACAGTCAGCCATGTATTGTAACTTGTTCCATTGTTGTGTGGGTTCTTTTGGATTATTTGGTAGAAATAATCCCAAGTCCAATCCACTAATGATGATAAGTTACTTTTTTCAACAACATTTGTTAAAGGTTATGTTCACTTTGACAAAGTTGTAGGCCTAAGTTCACAAACAGTGTTTCAATAGAAGCTGCAATAATAATCTATGCCTTACTCACAAATAAAACTTACTAACTTGATCACTGAGGAACAAACATAGTAACTCTCATTATTAACACTGAATTTAATTATTCACTGATTAACTCATTGACTTTTCATTTAATGACTTCTTTTATTTATAATGTACCCTTATTTCTACATACAACACAAAACTAAATTCTTAATTTTCATATTTCTAGATATTGTGTCATGCACCCTCAAGCAAACAAACACCTTGTTTCTGTATTTATTTTTTAACGACCCCTATTTTTTATAATCTTTTAAAAGTACAACAGTAGTGTGGTAAATAAACACTTGGTTCTCAGAATACAAATGCCACATAACAAATATGTAGAAATCAAAGAGTTGGCTGGTGAATGCTACTCCATGTGACTAATTGAAGATGAATTTCTCGTTTAAATAAGAGCTGTATGTAAGCTACAGAAGGTTGAGTATGATTTTATATTAAAATAATTTTTGAGCATCGACAAGTCTTTACAGTTTATGTCTGGTCAAGCTATTTGTGATTAATGTGCATCTTGACAATAGCCCTACTTTGCAAAAGGCTCCATTGTAAAGCTGTTATGTCCAAAGAACACCATTTAACTCTGCATTGTTGAAATAGACAATGAGAAACTGTCGTTTTTATATATTAGATGGCTTATAGAAATCATGCATTGCATACTGGTGTGCTTTTGACATGAAAGCCTTGTGACAAAGGCCTTTTCAATGGAAACTACGCTGTAGTACTATGCATAGTCATCAGATAGAAGACTGGATGTGGTAATGCTCCAAAATTGTTTTAGTATGACGTATTCAACTGCTGTATATGTATCAGTTAATGATCTGGAAAAGTGCATGACATGTCAAAGGCCTATCTCAAATTACTTATAAATCTTACACTAAGTTCCCCATTACTTTTAGCTGCAATTGTAGTCAATGTATTTAATTATTTTGCTGCTTCTCATGTTCATAAACATCATATATTTTAAAATCTTGATAAAATTATAAAATTAATAAGCAATAATTAAGCATTTTATCGAATACGTTAAAATTGTATCAAAATAACTGATACAACAACTGAATTCAAACCAAGTACTTTTCCATTTTTATTTTCAATAAAATTGCATTTATTTTGAGATATACATAAAAGAGTTGTCACAGTTATCAGTATCATACTGTATGAAAGTATGGTGTTGTATTCGCAGAATATAAAATTATATTATTATTCAGCAATTGGTAATGAAATTCTTTGTATATTTCTTGAAAAAGTAAATCCCTTTTTTGGAATGAAGACGAGTTTAGCTTATTTTCCGATACTGTAATGTATAATCCTAAACTTTAGGCATACTATAACAACTTCTATGTTAGCGTGGAGGGTAGCAAGAGATCATTACAACTTGTGCATTGAGCTCTCCCGTCCTTTTAATATATTGTTGCGTCAG